CCCCCCCCCCCCCCCCCCCCCCCCTTGGTGATGATTCACTCCATTAAACTTTGCTGGTGAATACTAGCTAAAAAGGTTTTCAATGAGCTGATCTCTCTAACAAGAACAATGAGTCCCATACTTTCAGCAAATAATTTTTGTTTCCTGCAAGCAAGATCACAATACTAATCTGAGATGTGAGAGTAAGGCCATAGATAAATGCCAAATTTAGAAATTGTATCAATAGCTATTTCTTACAAGTGCTGAACTGCTAGCAGCAGTAACTGAATCCACTTAAGTTTCAACCCTGAAAGCAATGTATTTTAAGTGCTGCATTGCTCCAAATACATATACCTAGAACTAAAACAAATCCTTTCGCTTAGGATTCTCACAACACTTCCTCCTTAGTTTTCCTGAGTATTGTACCCTGACTAATGGGAATGTAACATCTGCACAAAAGATGATGCTTGCATTCCTTTTACTATAATTCAAGAATAATCACACCTGCTTTCGGACACGGAAATCTATTTGCAAATTTCTCAGTTTAGGAAGGAATCTAGATTTCCTGCATGCCTAGAAATGAAACAGAGAATTCAACTTGGTGTTCTGGAAGGTACTCTCAAAATTTTTCCACTTGCCATAAATAATTACATGTTCATGGAGCTAAACAAAAGGAGAATCTGTCTTTGCCAAGCTATGGTTAAGGCATTTATTCTGGAAGATTAGATTTGAAGCCTTATTCCAATGAATATTTTATTATTTTTCTGATACCAGAAAAGCTAGGGAGATGTTTCCACTTCCTTCTTCCCTACTCCATAGGCTGGCATCACCAAGAAGCCTGGGCATCTGCAGACTGGGAATATATAAATCACATAATCACAGAATCACAGAATTGTAGAGGCTGGAAGGGAACTCTAGAAATAATTTAGTTCAATATCCCTGCCCAAGCAGACTCCCTACACCAAGTTGCACAGATAGGCACAACCTTCAGTATCTTCAGAGAAAGAGAATCCACAATTTCTCTGGGCAGCTTGTTCCCGTACTCTGTCATGCTTACTGTGAAGTTCTTCCTATGCTTCACTTTGTGACCATTTCCCCTTGTCCTATCATCATGCACCACTGAAAAGAGCCTGGCCTTGTACCTTTGCCCCCCACACCTTAGATATTTATAGGCATTGATCAGATCCCCTCTCAGTCTTCTTCTCTCAAGGCTGAACAGACCAAGGTCTCTCAGCCTTTCCTTGTAAGAGATGAGCTCCAGGCCCTTCACCATGTTTGTGGCCCTCCGCTGGACTCTTGCCAGGAGATCCCTGTCTTTTTTGTACTGGGGAGCCCATTCTGGACACAGTACTCCAGGTGAGGACTCAACAGGGCAGTGCAGAGGGGGAGGATCACCTCCCTCGACCTGCTGGCCACACTCTTTAATGCCCGCCAGGATGCCATTGGCCCTCTTGGCCACCAGGGCACACTGCTGGCTCATGGCCAACCTGCTGTCCACCAGGCCCTCCAGGTCTCTCTGCACAGAGCTCCTCTCCAGCAGGTCGTCCCCCAGCCTGTACTGGTGCATGCGATTATTTGTCCCCAGGTGCAAGACTCTACACTTGCTCTTGTTAAACGTCACCTGGTTCCCCTCTGCCCAGCTTTCCAGTCTGTCCGCATCGTGCTGAATGGCAGCACAGCCTTCTGCTGTGTCAGCCTTCCTGCCAACCTTGTATCATCAGCAAACTTGCTGAGGGTGGACACTGTGTGCTCACAGTCGGGTCATTGATGAAGATGTTGAACAAGAGCAAACCCAGCACTGACCCCTGCAGAACACCACTAGCTGCAGGCCTCCAGCTGGACTCCGCACTGATGATCACAGCCCTCTGAGCTTGGCCTGTCAGCCAGTTCTCCACCCACCTCACCATTCACTCACCTATCCTACACTTGCTCAGCTTCATTATCAGGATGCTGTGGGAGACAAAATCAAATGCCTTGCTGAAATTAAGTCAGACTACATCCACTGCTCTCCTGCCATCTACACATCCAGCACTGAAATCATAGAATGCCACCAGGTTGGTTGTGCAGATCTTCCCGATCTTCCCCTGGTGAACCCATGCTGACTACTCCACTCCTGATAACCTTCTTCTCTTCCAGTTGCTTGGAGATGGCATCTAGAACAGGCTGTTCCACTACCTTTCCCGGGACACAGGTGAGATGGACTGCCCTGTAGTTTCCCTGACCCTCCTTCTTGCCCTTTTTGAATAACAGACACTGGCTATCCTGCAGTCTTTAGGCACCTCTCCCATTCTTCAAGGCCACTTAAAGATGATAGAGCGCAGTTTGGCAATCACCTCTGCCAGCTCCCTTGGTCCTTGGATGCACCCTAATGGAGCCCATGGATTTATGCACATTGATGTTGCCAGGACGCTCTCAGACCATCTCCTCCCTCACCAAAGCAAAGCTTTCCATTTCCCCGACTCTCTCCCTTACCCCCAGTGTCCAGGATTCCAGTGAAGTCTTCGCAAGGAAGGTGTTCAGTATCTGCCTTCACAGCACCCCCCATTACAAGAACACCCCCCTCATTTAGTAGGGGACTCACGTTTTCTCTAGTCTTCCTTTTACTGTTGGCATACTTAAAAAAAGCCTTTCTTATTATCCTTTATCTCCTTTGCCAGACTCATTCCAGGTGCACTTTAGACAACCTCCTTATATTCTTCCCAAGTGTTCAGATGTGTGGGAATATGAGAAAAACTGTTCAGAGCAGCAGCTGTGGAGCAAGATAAACAGTACGAGAACCAAGGACACCTTTGAAGAACAAAGAAAGTCTCATGGATCTGATTGGCTAAGCGTCTGTGTGAATGAAGAGTGTTTTGCAGAATGCTCTGTTAACATGTGTAAATAGAATAGCGCTTAATAATAAAGTGGACTAATAGCTTTTAACCACACTGATGTGCTGTTATGTCTCTGACCGTGTTCCTGAAAGTCCAGAGTCTTCCCCATGCAGATCCTTTTTCTACATTTCATGGACCTTCTTCTTTTCTTTGAGTTTATGCGTAAGCTCCTTGCTCATCCACACAGATCTCCTGCCACCCTTCCCTGATTTCTTACTCATATGGCCACACCAATCCTGAGCTTGGAAGAATGTTGTTCAAATGCCGACTTGCTCTCACAGGTTCCCTTACCTTCTAACACCCTAGCACATAGGATTGCTCCAAGTAGGTCTCAAAGCAGAAAGAGTCACAAAATTAAGCACCACAAATATAAAGTAAGTATTTCTTGATTTTTACAGCTGTTGGCTGCCTACCTCTCCTAAACTGCATTTGATTCAGTGCTGGCACTGTTGGATATTTTTTAGGGATTATTCCTTTTGCAGACAGAAGTAACAAAATAATTTGCTTGTTTTAAGCATCCTTGGTTTCTTCAGCAGCCAGCTAACAGCTCCAGCACCCTGTGTGCTCTGAGACAGAAGCAAGGTAGCTGTGAAAATAGTTAATCAATGATAAATTGCTTCAGGAACTTAACTATTCATTGCCAAACTAAGTGACAGAATGAAGTATCTAGATAAATTTGTTTTGTGAAAATAAATAAGTTGCTGACACCAATGGGATTTTTGCTATCTTGAACAGTAATGATAGTGCTCTGTCTGAATGTGCAAAAAAGTACACTTTTGCATCTTGTCATCCTAGCATGACTGCAAAGAGCAGTACCAGTAACCAGGCAGTTCTGAGGCTGCAATCTGTCATCAGCTGTCTGGAAGTTTCGATTCTTTTTCTTTATTGCTTATTCCTTGAGAAAGCAAATTCAAACTTAAATTTGTATGATGAGGTCTGGTCTGCTGATAATAAGCATGTTGTTCTTATTTGTATCATGCATTGTAGGAAGTTGCTCTTGGAGTGGCTGTGATTAAAATTGTAAGCCTACACTCGGAGCAAAGCTTCTGAAATATCACAGAGAGGGACACAATTTTGGCACATCTCTGTTGAGAAAAATGAAGCTACGTAAAGTGTATCAGTAGGGAACTAGGCCTTAGAAGCTTTCATGAAAGAGGTGGTATTATCTTCTAAACGATGTTGACAAAATATGAAGACTGATCAGCTTTTAAGAGGATTGAAATGAAGAAAGCACAGGGACACCTAAAAGATGTAGAGAAATTCATTAACTATATCCACATACAGTTGGAACCCAACATTTGGTGGTGCGGCAAACGGTATAGCATGTTAACAGCACTATACTGCATCATGTGAGTGCAAAAATATTGATGCATCAGAGTTATTTAGACATTTAGAATTAAAGCAAAGGATTAGAATTCCAAAGACAAATGATTTCCTAATGACAAATACAGGTTTTTTATTTTTAATGGGCTTGCAAAATGAACAATTCTGGGGATCCTTTTGTTTGACTACCTGGTTTCATAACAGGATAGCAACGTGGAGTCACCGCTGTGTGGCCACACATGCTGAACACCACGCTGCAGCCACTCCTCTGCTAATGTGTATGAGTCTGAAGGATGCAGCTGGGCTAAACCTGTCAGCAGAACCCTGGGTCCTCGGACATAAGAGAAACCGCTCCCTACAACGAACACCACGCCCCTCCAGGACTCCTTGAGGGGGCATGGGCGGGGCCAAGCGCGAGGGGCGGGGCGATTACCATTGGGCCGCGCATTTGGGCGGGACCTGGGGGGCGGGGTGATGTCAATAACGTCACCCATATGCGCCGCAGCTGAGCTGGAGGACAGCGTGGGCTCGGTGGAGAGCGTGCTGGGTAAAGCTGCAGAAACGGGCAGTCGAGCTCCCGGGGCGGCGAGGGGTGGTATTGATAGCGATCGTGAGTAGTTGTCTGTCTCGCGTGTGCCGGCCTTCTTTCGCCTCCAGCCCTCAGCCCGGTACCCGTGTTGCGGGAGTAGCGCGGTGCCCGCCGGGGTCCGAACCGCGCTCCGTGGGGCCGCCGGCTTTGCCCTACAGCCTTCTGCCGGGCCGGTTGGCGCAGAGCGCTTCTGGAAGTCTAGAAGGCAAAGTTGCCGCTCCAGCTTTTTGAGTAAACTTGCCTGCAGTAAACAGGAGAGCGGTGAAAACGCAGTCAGAAGCAGTGGGCAATCAGCAATAAGCTCTAGTCTCTCGTTGCTACTGACCTTATTTGCTTTTCTTGTTAAAAGCTTTTTATGCAGCTTGAATCCATGCCCTTCTTGTAAGATTGTTGCTAAGTGTAACTTCCTGAAAGAACTCGACATGTGATATATTAAAGCTTTCAAGGTGATTAACAAGTTGTTCTGTTCACTGGTTTCTTCTAATGCTTGGAAGCATGGAAGGTAAAACTAGTACCTTAATAAATGGTATTTTGTAATTCATCTGAAGATTTTTGTGTTATGTAAGTCAAAAGTAATGCCTCCTTGTTATTTCAATGGAAGTGACAGCAAAGAGCACAATAACACTATTTGGTAGAGCAAATTGTCAGCTACAAAGTGCTGTTTTACAGCATTGTCACCACCATTAGCTATGCATTTTTGCCAGTGATGAACAAGAGTTGAAACATGTAGATGTTGTGCTAGGAATATGGTTTAGTGGGCAGTACTGGTGGTAGGTGGACAGTTAGACTAGAAAATCTTTGAGACCTTTTTCAACTTCAATGATTTTATGAATTTGTGTTCTATTTATAGAAACATGCACCAGCTGTTGCTGCTTCTGTAACGTACTTCCCACCACTTCACTGTGCTCACGTCCTCTGGTTGGTCTCTGTAAATGTTCAGCAAGCATCAGTGAATGTCAGTGGGTGATTTTTTTTCTGCATGTAGGAATTCATTGATGTTCTTCTGTTTGATAACCACTTCCATGTCAGATGCTATTTTGCTAGACTGCCCCTGTGCTGCCATCTGTTGCATGGAAACAAAGTAGGGTGGAATATGGGTGGGAAGCCTCAGCCTCTACTGTCATACTACAATCATCTGCCACTGATGTCATGGGCCTGAATAATAACATAAGAGGCATTACTTTTGGAGCACCCCTTGTAGTTGTGTGTGTTATTTCCTTCACTCACAATGAAGCTGAGTTTTACAGGTCATGCTGACTTGCAGGAGTAGTCTATGAGTGTCAACATTGGCAAGAGAAGATTGCTTTTTATGTTTCCAATGTCAGGAAAATAACTTTTCACATTGCAAATGGTATTTATAAATGGCAGCTGCACTGAGTTAGAAACAGTCAAAGAATCACAGAATGGCCAGGGTTGGAAACGACCTCAAGGGTTGTGAATCTTCAACCCCCTGCCACATGCAGGGCCACCAACCTCCCCACTTAACACTAGACCAGGCTGCCCAAGGCCCCATCCAACCTGGCCTTGAACACCTCCAGGGATGGGGCATCCACAACCTCTCTGGGCAGCCTGTTCCAGCACCTCACCACTCTCTCTGTAAAGGATTTCCCCCTCACATCCAACCAAATGTTCCATCCCTTAAAACCTTTTCCCCTTGTCCTGCAGTTATCAACCCTTTCGAAGAGTTGATTCCCCTCCCCTCTGTAGGCTCCTTTTAGGTATTGAAAGGTTGCAATGAGGTCACCCTGCAGCCTTCTCTTCTCCAGGCTTTTTTTTCAGGCTTTTATTTTTCAGTCCTGTCTGCTTTGCAGCCATGTTTTTTTTTTGTTTTTTTTTTTTAAACCTGGAATCTTTTCCCAGGTTTGCATATGACTCAAGCTTGTAGTAAGTATAAATGCAATGTTATCCAAGTACCATGTATTGCTTCTTCCTTATTTCCCATTCTTTGTGTTTTTATGCAACTCATTAATGCACAGATAATCAGAGTGACTCTATTCATATTGGCCAGCATCTGCTATGCTTATTATTTGTTCCTTTGCAAATTAAAATATTAAAATGTATAACCATACTGTTAGCTTGACTGACATTTTTATGATTTATGAAGTCCATTCACTATGGACAATGCATTGAATGTGAGGTATATTTTAAAAATGCACTGATCATTTGTTAGTTCTTTATGTGTAGAAGTATGAATTAAAAGTACTTTTGAAATGGTTGTTAAAACTTTACACTACCATTAGTGTTCCTAATATTTTTTGTAATGCTTTCAGTTCGACTAGTGAACATGCCTTTCTAAAGGTGAAGTGCATCAACTTCAGAAAAATGAAATCCAGATATTGTGTACAGAATATACATAAAAATATTGCAGAAGACAATGCATTACAAAAGAAGTATCTCAATAAACATCTCATAAACAGTAGCTCTAGTATCTTTAGTATGTAATTCTTTATGTAATTCTTACTCTTTTCCTATCTTTCCTGTTTACCTGCCTTCTCTTCCCCATTGTTCTAATTTGTGATAACTGCTGGGCTTTCCCTTCCCCGTCTCCTTAACTGATAATGAACTGGTTAGGAACCATTTGACCTTGATTGTGTCTCAGTCTCACTCCGGGTATATCAAAGAATCTCCCCTCTTGCTCTGATAATCACAGCAAGAGAGTTATTAAACAGCATAGCTGAGGCAGGATACCTAACAGTGAGAGTGTTGTCCCTCCGGAGGTGGCTGATGTCTGTAATTCTTGGGGATGTAAGGATTAATTTTGAGTATTTGCATTTGATTGATATGTATGTACTTCTCCAGGAAAACCACTCCGCATTTTGTGACTTAAGTGTATTGTTCAAACTTTTTATGTGTATCTTTCGGGGATTTGAAAAGTAATTTTGAGTATTTGCATTTGTTGGATATGTGTGTCCCTCTCTTGGACAATCACTGCATTTTGTGACTTAAGTGCATTACACCTTAGGTGTGTTGTTTAAATTTTTTGTGTGTGCACCTCTTGGGGATGTGAGGAGTGATCTGAGTATTTGAATCTGTCAGATACATGAGCCTCTCCCAAAAGATCACACTGCATTTTGTGAGATGAATGGTAGTGAAGCCACTATGGAAAACAGAAATATGTTGTTTGATCTCTTAGGAAAGCATGGTTCCATATGCATGTTATCAGGGGTATATTGAGCACTCCAGAATTGGCATAATTTTCAAAGTGCTTCTGACTGTGTTAGTGCTTTGCAAAAAGATGCTTGTTCCTGAGCTGGAAAAGGAAAGTTGTTTGTATGTACACTTCTGGGTACTGCTCTGCTTGCAACCGCAGAGTTCAGAGAATTATAGCTTACAGCAGAAAGCCAAACTAGACAGTTGCTATGGAACGGACAGAGGAACTTCTGTCAGGGAACAGAAAATTGCAAAAATTGGTAAAAGCTTTGCAGAATTGGGTACTGGAAGTTGAAGGGCAATTAGAGAATGAAAGACATGGTGAAGTACTCTTACAGGAGGCCCTGAAGGAACAGCTTGTTTGCAAGGACGATAATAGCACTAGCACTTAAAAGCCCTCCTAAAGGAAAAAATCTATCTTCTGGAAAGATTGGATGAAATAAAGGCAAGGCTACATAAACCAGAAACCTTGGCAACCCAATTGCATCTTTTGATAAGAACCAAATATTTATACAAAAGTGGTGACTAATTAAATCCTCAGATGAGTATTTAGAAGATTACTTTTTTTTTTTTTTTTCTACTGAAGTAGCAAAATTGAAAAAAGATTTTGACTGTTCCCCTAAGGAACTGGAGATGGAGTATATGTGGAGGGTTAGCCTTACTGGTGGAGACAAGGTACTGTCCACTAAAGAAGAAGCTTAAGGGTAGTGGTGGCTAGGAGTATTTTTAACTACTGGTAACAGTTGGGCACCATGGTAAATGGAAAGATTGGAAATGCGCAGAGGATTTCCAAAATGATCAGCAAGGGTATTGCTTCAGCAATTGAGAGAGTATGTTTTTTATGTAAAGTGAGAACCGTAATTGCAGTTTATTCTATTAACTTGATAATGAAGACTAAAAGGAAACGTGGAATGAATAGAAGTTTATTTATAAGGGTATGTTACGTAGCTTGGTCATAAAATAGAAGAGTATTTCAGTGGGAAGATGATAAAAAGATAAAAACAGTGAAACCTGCATACTTTGATGCAGTTATAGCTGAATGCATACAAGTGCATTCCACTATATCAGCATCTGAAAGATACACTATATATGAGTACAAAGGTAAGACTTTCCATCTAATGTGTAGGTAGCACAGCCAGTTTTTCTTTGATTAAATTTTTTTTAAAAATTATTTATTTATTTAAGCCCAATTTCCCTTCATATCTTTCAGATTCCTACTCCTTCTCTTGATCAAAGTAAGGAAAACATTGAGGAACATGATCATAAACTGTTTGGGAATGCAATTCATCAGAATTTGTATTCAGTTAATCAGAAAGAAAATTAATGGAGAATGTTGTCTTGGAGGAGCCAGGCCCAACTTGCAAATTTGTGCAATGTTTTGATAAGCTATATGTTTGTATTTGTAGTTTGGAATGTTTTCCTTGAATATTTGTATTTTTATTTTTGTACATTTTTGGGAACACTTGATTACAGAAATAATAGAAGGTGCATCTTGTCTCTATTGGAATCAAAGGGTGAATTAAATCATTGTTTGCTACCTAATTTTTTAAACCTAAATTATTACATAACTGTAAAAGACATTACAGTTCAATTAAAGACGTGAACATAGGGTTTTCAAGCATATTTGATTGTTGCACTTTTTGCTTTTTCTCTTAATTCTTGCTTGTCTCTTGTACTTGCCCTTACATATTTTTTGCTTCTGTGAGTGCAAACTTTCTGTCTCACCTGACAGATTTTTTTTTTTTTTTTTTAATGCTGAACCAATGCGGGAAGCCTGCTTAGATGCTAGACTTTAAACATAATACCAG